GCGACACGCGACATCGCGACAATGCGACAAATGGGCGAAATGTCGCGTTGTCGCGATGTCGCGTGTCGCGTTTTTGGTTAATTTTGCCTCATTTTGCTTGTATTTGAGAGGGCGACAACGCGACAATGTCCCTTCCAGGATTCCATACAAAACTCGTTAAAAGACGTCCCTGTATAACACATACCTGGGGAAGCATCAATTCTACAATTTACGACGTCTTCTTGAATACTTCAGGGTATTCCTCTTATCAGATTTATCTAAAAAAATCATCACTTTAATCAGTACTGGCAAATTGCCGACAAGTAGAAATAATTGCATGTTCACTATTTCATTCCAGGGACGGTGGGGTAGCCAAGCGGTAAAGCGTTCGCTCGTCACGCCAAAGACCCGGGTTCAATTCCCCACATGGGCACAATGTGTGAAGCCCATTTCTTGTGTCCCACGTCGTGATATTGCTAAACGCGACATAAAACTAAACTCACTCACTCTTTCATTGCACGCCCTATTCGTTCTTGGTTAAATGGCGTCCATCTTGGGTTTTCGTCGGTTGACTTTTTCCTGTCTTACTTTGTTCCAAAGTGGATCACCCATGCGCATGTGTGTTAGTTGTATCCCTACGTCATAAAACACGTGTTCTGTGGAAGTTTTCAAGGTTTACATACATCCGTCAGTTCGTCAAAGACGTGTTCGTTTACATAAGTCCGTCAGTTCGTCAAAGACGTGTTCGTTTACATAAGTCCGTCAGTTCGTCAAAGACGTGTTCGTTTACATAAGTCCGTCAGTTCGTCAAAGACGTGTTCGTTTACATACATCCGTCAGTTCGTCAAAGACGTGTTCGTTTACATAAGTCCGTCAGTTCGTCAAAGACGTGTTCGTTTACATACATCCGTCAGTTCGTCAAAGACGTGTTCGTTTACATAAGTCCGTCAGTTCATCAAAGACGTGTTCGTTTACGTACATACATCAGTTCACCAAAGACGTGTTCGTTTACATAAGACCGTCAGTTCATCAAAGACGTGTTCGTTTACGTACTTCCGCCAGTTAGTTACAATCGTGTTCATAATGTCCATCAATTTTCTATAATAAATTGTATAGCAAATGGCCAGGAATAAATTGGCTATGTACTTTAGTTCGTTCCAAGCGTGTCCATTAAAAACGTTGTTTACTGCATCGAACACATAATGACAAAGGTGTGTGATTGACATCTATCATTGTAATATAATTATACTCAACAACAACAGTATTCAATATTTAAGTATTCTATAGATCATAATATGAACTATTAAATACTTTATTATTGATAATTAGGCTGGTCCTTAACTTTTGTTGTTGAGTATATGTAGTCCGTCAGTCTAGAGTTTAGCATGCCTTGCTTGTTAACATCACAACACCGACAGGCAAAGAATAGGCTTAGAATACAACAATTCGTCATTTATCCCCTCATTAAATAAAATCCAAACGAGACGATGATAAGTCATCGAATTCCCAAAAGGACAGGACAGCCATAGATTCATTGATTTACAAGAAAGTTGGAGACTTAGAGGTTCACAAAGAAAACCATCAGAGACGCATAGGTTACTTGTTTACAGACGACAGGATCCTGGATTTACGAGGACAGAGACTCGTGGATTTACAACGAAGACAGAGACGCGTAGATTTATAAGGAAGACAGAGATTCGTGGATTTACAACGAAGGCGGAGATTGGTGGATTTACAAAGGAAGACAGAGATTCGTGAATTTACAAGGAAGACAGAGGAGCGTGGATTTTCAAGGAAGACAGAGACTCGTGGATTTACAAGGAAGACAGAGATTCGTGGATTTACAACGAAGGCGGAGACTCGTGGATTTGAGATTTACAAGGAAGATTTACAGAGACTCTTGGATTTACAACGAAGGCGGAGAAGGAAGACAGAGATTCGATGGTTACAAGGAAGACAGAGACTCGTGGATTTACAAGGAAGACAGAGATTCGTGGATTTACAACGAAGGCGGAGACTCGTGGATTTACAGAATTCTTGGAAGGAAGACAGAGATTCGTGGATTTACAAGGAAGACAGAGATTCGTGGATTTACAAGGAAGACAGAGATTCGTGGATTTACAAGGAGGAAGACAGAGAAGACGTGGATTTACAAAGGAAGACAGAGACTCGTGGATTTACAAGGAAGACAGAGACAGAGACTCGTGGATTTACAAGGAAGATAGGGACTCGTGGATTTACAAGGAAGACAGAGATTCGTGGATTTACAAAGAAGACAGGGACTCGTGGATTTACAAAGACAATCAAGAAACTCACAGGACAGAGACGCGTGGATTTACAAGGAAGACAGAGACTCGTGGATTTACAAGGAAGACAGAGATTCGTGGATTTACAACGAAGGCGGAGACTCGTGGATTTACAAGGAAGACAGAGATTCTTGGATTTACAAGGAAGACAGAGACTCGTGGATTTACAAGGAAGACAGAGATTCGTGGATTTACAACGAAGGCGGAGACTCGTGGATTTACAAGGAAGACAGAGATTCGTGGATTTACAACGAAGGCGGAGACTCGTGGATTTACAAGGAAGGCAGAGATTCTTGGATTTACAAGGAAGACAGAGACTCGTGGATTTACAAGGAAGACAGAGACTCGTGGATTTACAAGGAAGACAGAGATTCGTGGACAGAGACGCGTGGATTTACAAGGAAGACAGAGACTCGTGGATTTACAAGGAAGACAGAGATTCGTGGATTTACAAGGAAGATAGGGACTCGTGGATTTACAAGGAAGGCAGAGATTCGTGGGAAGAAGAAGGCAGAGATTCGTGGATTTACAAAGGAAGACAGAGACTCGTGGATTTACAAGGAAGACAGAGACGCGTGGATTTACAAAGGAAGACAGAGACTCGTGGATTTACAAGGAAGACAGAGATTCGTGGATTTACAACGAGAAGGCGGAGACTCGTGAATTTACAAGGAAGACAGAGATTCTTGGATTTACAAGGAAGACAGAGACTCGTGGATTTACAAGGAAGACAGAGATTCGTGGATTTACAACGAAGGCGGAGACTCGTGGATTTACAAGGAAGGCAGAGATTCTTGGATTTACAAGGAAGACAGAGACTCGTGGATTTACAAGGAAGACAGAGATTCGTGGATTTACAAGGAAGACAGAGACTCGTGGATTTACAAGGAAGACAGAGACTCGTGGATTTACAAGGAAGACAGAGATTCTTGGATTTACAAGGAAGACAGAGACTCGTGGATTTACAAAGGAAGACAGAGACTCGTGGATTTACAAGGAAGACAGAGACTCGTGGATTTACAAGGAAGACAGAGACGCGTGGATTTACAAGGAAGACAGAGACTCGTGGATTTACAAGGAAGACAGAGACTCGTGGATTTACAAGGAAGACAGAGACTCGTGGATTTACAAGGAAGACAGGGACTCGTGGATTTACAAGGAAGACAGGGACTCGTGGATTTACAAAGAAGACAGGGACTCGCGGATTTACAACGAAGACAATCAGAAACTCACAGGTTTACAAAGAAACCAAAGACACAGATTTACAGTGAAGACGGTGAGAGACTCGTAGATGTAAAACGAAAATAGTCAGTGACTCATAGAATTACAACGAAAATTGTCAGAGACCCATAGATTTTCAACGAAGACAGTCAGAGGCCCATTGGACAACAACAACAACATCAACAACAACAAAAACAGCTTCTTCTGTTATTACTACTAGAGCGGTGTGGAGTATTGCCGAACAGCTAACACCATATCCTGCATAATTCCAGTTGTGTTTCATTAACAAAAACACTTAGTCCCTTAATATATAATGTTGATGGAAACAAACATAATTTTTTTTAGTTTTTAATTGAAAAGAAGTCCCAGTGAGTAGGGATAATCAGCGAGTGAGGAAATCTAGATTTTCTTCATTCAGGGCATTAGCATTGCAGAAGGGCTGGACGGAAGGGAAAATAATGCTTTTCATGGATTGTGAGGCAGACTATGTTTCATTATATGAAGCAATAAGTAATGCTAACAAAGAATCGTTCAGTGGGAATCATATTCACGCATACAGGCGAGAAGGTCCTGTCCATCAAGCCTGTTGCTGTTAGATATTTGACATTGTCAACTTTTTACTTTTCTTACTCCTGTCGACTCGCCGGAACACCCCTGTCGGGCTATTCTGAACAAAACGGTGTACCATAAAAGTTTAGTTGCGGTCGAAGTGTCATTGCTAAACGTGTTGTGGGTTGTCGTTTGCTTTCAAACGTACGTGAGGTTAATAAACTCTTTCCTCGTTCCTGTTACTGAAATTAGAAAATTATGCAAAATTCAGTAACAAGAACGAAGATCGATGGGCAACTATTTGCCACATTATATGGTAATGTCTCTGTATGTGCTGACAATATCAGGAAGTATTTGTAAAGAATGAATTGACGTCAAATTCCAAATAAATCAGCACGATTACATTTGCTACAACTGTTATTTGATTTTTCACTAACATTCTGCTGACGATAACCCTGATAATCGATTGCTATTCAAAGCCTGGATAAAAACCGAAATTTATGGCACATTTATGGCCCATATTTATGGCACTTGTATCGCATATTCCACATCTACTAGATTGTATAAATCGAGCTGTGTCGTAAATAGGATAAAGTCCCATATAGATTCCAACTAGCCAAGCAAAACTAGTTTTAGCATGATTCCTGATACGTGAGGTCTAATCAAATGTTTTCGCCCTATTCCATATTACCTTTCCTGAAACAAGCTTTAATTAACCATTTTTAACAGAAATTTGCGATATAAGGGAAGTAACTCTTGCAATACATTACGACGCTGTGGATGCGGGTCTATTCAATGACATAATACCATCATCAGATCAAATGCTTTAATTAAACAGAACGCATTTCATGGTAAATAAAATCATGTGTTGAATTTCCACAGCATGATATCAATTATATTTCTTATGTAATGAATACGAGAAAAGCCATCCGGGTTCTTCACTTCATCAAAATGGCGACGGAAGCTCTTCGGGCAGAAAATCCCGACTCTATGGAGGCTTTAACGCGTGAAGCTGAAACACTCAAAGCTAAATTAGAAGATGAGAAGGCCAAACTAAATGATGTTGACAGTATGTTTATATATCTGGCACATATTTTCTGACTACGAACCCAAATGCACGCCACAAAGTCATGTAGACCGTTAAGTTGTAGCAGTATTAGTTCGGTTTTCGATCGTCAACACCGAGGCCAAATGTCAAGAACTACAACATATATTAGCCTTTAACTCTAATAGTCCAAACATCAATGGCCCTTAGATCACTTTATGCAAAACGTCAAACACCTTAGAAACATGATGCAACATGTTCCAATGAATTCAAGCTTTGCAATAGTTAATTTTAATGGATTTGACAGGATTAGATAACATTTGTTCGGATCAAACGTACCGTTTTAAACTTTTGTTCATTGCGTTATATTGCCGGAATTGTGATAGTCTACACATCAATACCTCTTTTTGTATGTATCAATGTGCCCTAAAATTAATAGCCATTGTATACAATGTTAAAGTGGATTTTAAATGTTTATCCACTCGGTTTGTTTGCGGTACTCAAGGGCGTTGATATCTGTCAAGATGAGAAATGTTTGTTTTCAGATCTCTCTGTCTAGGACACATTGCTTCAGCAATTTATTCAGATTTGTTAATGAAAGACATTTAATAGGCCTTGGATTCAAGATTATCAAGGCCCTCACCACATTGTGGTTGTCATAGGACTTGGCTCTAAGAATTCTTAACTTTGATCATAGCCAATGTGTTAAGAATGGGCTTAAGAAGTTTGTAGAGCTATGAACGTTTCGAGAATAGCTAGTCTGGTATCTTGAAGAGATCATGTCAGCATTGTCTGGGAGTGGGCATGGACACTCAGATGCTTGTCTGGGATAATCCAGATGTGATATTGAATTTCTGTTTAATTTTGGTCATTAATATATTGTTTTCCTTCTGTCCCAAATTTGCAACTGACATGTGGTATGTCATGCAATATTTGACTGAGCATGATAATATGCTGAGTGACTAAAAACAGGTTCATCCTTTTTGAGTCATGCATCAATGGTGCGGATAGACAGGATGAGGAACTTTTGAATTTGCTTCAATATTAACAGTATGAGATGGTTAAAGTTCAGGACCCACCTGCGCAAAGCAATCCTAGCGCAAAGATGATTGTAACTCCCGTACTCTATCATAGACTTGAGATGGTCTTAGCTTGAAGATCGCTTTGTGCCTTGGGGCCACGGGTTTTACCTTGGTCTCTGTTCTATTTCTATCCAGTGTGCGAAATAGTTTCCAAATCTTGCTCACCAGTCGGGGTAGCTATGCCTGAAAGTTACTAGCCCACAAAATGATTCACTAGCCCAAAATTTGAATGTAGAAACTGAGCAAAAAATTACAAAAAGGTAAAATACCATCATTTATCAGGCCATAATCTCGCATGATTTCAAAGTGTATTATAACTTAACAAGTCAGAAAGAGTGATATATTTCTAATAATGACCTCATGAAAATTCACTAGCCAGTCGTGTCAGTGACTGTGGAGATTTACTGGCCTGATTGGATTATTACTAGCCACAAGCTAGTGGATCAGTGGCTATTTCACACACTGTTTCTATCTGTTCTTAATGCTTAATTCTGTACTTTATTTGTGGGCACAGGTATCCCATTTGTCTAACTGCTGCAGTTGGATGTGCAGAGTTGTGCCCCTTTGAGCATCAGGAGCCTATGATCTTGGATTTCCCTGATTATGTTTCTAGTTTACTGCTTGTGGACGAGCTGTCTAAGGTGCCAGGCTAGTAATCCAGTGAGCTTGAGATGCCGGGATTGAGCCCACCTGTGACGGGGTGTTAAAACCTTGGAGTCAACTTTGTGTGCAGACTCTTTCAGTGTTGTCACAACCGCTAGTGTACAGTACACAACCCAGTGCACACAAAAGAACTCATGAATCCGTTGGTAAATGACCAGATGGTGGCCACATGAATACGTGCAAACACCTAGTTGTGGGTACAGCAACGTGCAGTAAACTTGGACAAAGTACTGTGATTATGTGTCCCAGTCCACCCAGCTGTGAATGGGTACCTTGTAAGGATGCGAAAGCCACTTTAACTCCTAGTGGCTGTTAGAGTTGTATGCTCGCCAGGGAGTTGAGATTGATATTATGAACTGACGTTGAAATTGACGTCCTATGATCGAGGGAAAAACAAAGTGCCTGTGATCAGGTGCTATATAAATAGATTGTAATATGAATATAATAATACAATGGTAAATGCCTGTGTCCTGCAACACTTTGATACAGTATTTGAATTAAATCATTACTGCATAGTTCCTAAGGTGTTAACTTCAGCGTAATACCTTATTTTTTTTCCCACCCTGGTGTGCCTTGATGATTGTGTTTACCTTACAGTGTGTGTACTGGGACAGCGCTTAGCCAACCTTCCTCCATTCAACATCAAGACCCGCCGAGCACTGAAAGGTCACCAGGGCAAGGTGCTGTGTATGGACTGGTCATCAGACAAACGCCACATTGTCAGCTCCTCACAGGTGGGCGTTTTATCGTGTATACTTTTGCATTATAGGTACAATATTTCAGTATAGGTCCATCTACAGTATATGTACAGCTATTGCAGTATAGGCACAGCGGTCATGGTATATGAATAGCTGTTTCAGTAGAGACACAACAAATTTAGTTTAGGTACAACTATTGCACAATATGAAGCCAACGCTGGTGGTCACGGGTGCAATATTCCTTTCTAGGAACATCCAACATTAGTTATTGCCTAGTTCTGTGTCTTAATTTTGTTGATCTGTGAAGATCCGGATTAGAATATTGATAACGGGATCGGGTGGTAAGGCTGGCTGACTTGGTTGACACATGTCATCGGTTCCCAATTGTGTAGATTGATGCTCATGCTGTTGATCACTGGATTGTCTGGTCCAGACTCGATTATTTACAGGCTTCGCCATATAGTTGGAATATTGCTGAGTGTGGCGTAAAACTAAACTGACTAACTCACTCAATTTTGTTACCCACTTCTTGGTATCCAATCTGTTGATGCTTGGTGGAGCAACTTCTCGGATCTGACATGTGAAGATCTTGGTTAGAATTATCTGGAATGGAGGAATAATACATAGGATGGTTTAGGATTGTATCTCTAATGAGGTATTCTTGCTTCAATGTCAGCTATAATTTTATTGTTTTCCAGGATGGAAAGATGCTTGTGTGGGACGCCTTCACCACGAACAAAGTAAGTAGAATAGGCCATATGTAAGTGCCATCTGCGAAACAAACATCCTACTCTCCAACACGTTGATTTGATATGTGGATGAAACTTTAAGATCCAGTATTTTCTTGCTACACAAACAAACAAACAGACATCGGAGGTTTTGCTGAAGTTAAATGTTTGATGCAACTTCTCCTGCAGGATATGTACCTGTTTTACATGTTTCAAACAGGGTATTGCAAGAATATGTTTATGGAAATTAACTTTCAGGGTAGGTGATATCAACCTGAAGATTTTACTTGCTGAAATATTGATAACATTATATTATGACTCCTGTAATACTAATAGAAGGCCATGTCTATTGATAAACTAACTGGAGAGCTAGTGCAATGTCTGTCCTTCCCTGAAATAAACCCAGTAGATCTACTCTAACAATTTTTTATTGTTTTAAATTTTGTCTTCTTACTATCGTGACCCATGAAGGTCCGGGTTAGAATGAACCTTCAGTAACCCATGCTTGTCGTAAGAGGCGACTAACGGGATCGGGTGGTAAAACTGACCTCACTCATTCACTCTTACTATTGGCGTAATGACCGACAATTTGATAAAAAATGGAAATTAGATTCCCAGACCTATAAAAATATGTTGCTTCCTTTCCATCATATGTCCATTTTTCGAGTGGAATTGTGTGCTTCTTGTGAGATTAGGTGTGTTATATGTAGTTAAAAGCGTGAAGAATTTTAAAGAATTTGGTCTCAGTATTTCATAACTGTGGGTGTTGGTAAGGTTTGTATCCTGTGTAATTATCAACAGGAGCATGCAGTTACCATGCCAACCACCTGGGTGATGGCTTGTTCCTATGGTCCATCAGGATCTGTTGTAGCATGTGGGTGAGTACAGTGTGTTGTCCCCAGCTGCTGGGTGGGTGGTTGCATGTTCCTGAGTTCTGGTAAACTTGGTGCAAATGTACATCATCTTTCCTACCTGTGAAGATCTGGGTTAGAATTGTCTTCAGTAATCCATGTTTGTCATAAGAGGCGACTAACGGGATCGGGTGGTCAGGCTCGCTGACTTGGTTGACACATGTCATCATATCCCAATTGCATAGATTGATGCTCATGCTGTTGGTCACTGGATTGTCTGGTCCAGACTCGATTATTTACAGACCGCTGCTATATAGCTGGAATGTTGCTAAGTGCGACGTAAAACAAAAAACCAAACCAAACCAATTTAACAGGGCTCGATTTAGTGCTTTGTTACTTGCACTTGTGCAACCCAATATTACAAAGTGCAACCTAGTTATTAGTGTTAACTTGCACCAGGTGCAAGTCAATTTTTGAGTGGGTAAACTTCTGAATAAGACATCTAAATAATTCAATAGCATCTTGCTGATGTTACATATTGCATTAAAAACAGTGCAACCGGAATTTGACTGGTGCAACTAGGTTTTTATCTTAGGTTGTACCGGTGTACACTAGCAATTTTAAAGTTATTTCCACCCCTGATTGCTCAGGCAGCGTATTTGTTAACAACGTATCACAAACATAGTCATATGGTACCGTGATGTGGATAAAAAGTTTATAGATAGTATTCTAAAGGACGGCCATTTTGTCTAATAGTCTTAAGATTCTTTTTCAGAAGTCCTCCTTTGGGTACATATAAGCATTAAAATGTCCATTTTAAATACCTACGACAGTTGTAACAAAATTTCAATAAAATATTTTACAAAACAAAATTCTCGTTTTTGTCTTGTGAGACCACCCCAACAGGGCCCAACAGGGCCCCACAGGGCCCCTACAGCCAAGAGCAGGTAACTCTGGCTACTTACCGGTACCTCGTACCTCACTTTTCATGCTGTTGTTTCACAGAACAGTCGTGCATGGTCCTTCGAAGCCACAGTCCTAGAGAAATGAGTGAGAAATTGTTGAATACTGTATGTATGGTTCCTTTCTTTTCGCACGGGCGTCAGCAGGAAATTTTTCTGACTATTTTCATTCATGATTTGTTGTAACTTTGTCGGCGTTCTCACTGTTTCCAGCCATGTAGCAGGCAAGATGGCAGACTGCGTGGTCAATTTCTCCCTTCTACAGGTTCTGGTAGCCGTTGTAGTAGGTTTGTAGTGTCTTTATATTTCATTATATATGCTCGGCTTGCCTAAATTCCTTCCTTTCAGCGAATTTATGGTAAGATACGGTTGAGTAATTTTGTAACGTGTTTGTTTTGTATCACTCGTAATTTGCTCTATACTGTATATGTGCACACGTAGGCTTTGCCGTTGTTGCTTTATGCTAGTGTTTTAATGGCTTTAGCTTTAGCAGTTAAATTTCGCCCGTGCGTCGTATTTTTCTGTGTTGTTGTGTACATATTCCATTTTGTTTGAAACAGTCCTTGCTATTAGTCATAGCGCGGTTCTGTTTTCTTGCAGTTCAAGGGTAGTGCGACTTTACTCTGTAGTGCGACTTTACGGTCGCGGGATCACCACCTCGTCTGTTTACGATGCCTCGCAGAGGAATCGCACGACGAGCAAGGGTGTGCCATTTGTCAGGGCTTTTCCCCGAGGTGGGGGGACATTTGGGCGCAGGAGCCTCCGTCCCACAAAAAGCTAAGAAAAAGAAGAGTTCATCTTCTAGTTCTGCGTCTGTATCTAGCAATACTGCGCCCAAACGGGCGAAGGGTGTGGGTTTTACTGTAAGCCCTCCACCTGCTGTTCCCTCTACGTCTCAGGCACCTTCACCTCCCAATGTCCCTGTTGCTGCACCTTTAACATTTGAACTAATTTCAGATCTCTTGCAGCAACAAATGTCGTCTGTTCACTCCCTCATCTCGGACGCAATGTCTGGTCTCCGCGAGGAGATCAGCGTCCGGCCAGGTGCTGGGGCATGTTCAGCTACTGCGGCAGGTGGTATTTCCAACCTTGGCTTAGGCTCTGGTGTGTGAATTCCTGCCGGGGCCGTGCCTGCTATAAGTACCAACTCGGTCGCAGGCCACCCCTCCGCTACTGTATCCACTCCCGGTCCGAGCCTCGGCTCTAGGTCCGGTTTGTTGGGTGGTGCCGGTACCATGGGTTCTGTCCCGGTGGTATCCAGTGCGCTATGCATTTGGCTCCACCGCTTGCGCCGGCTCCGCCGGGCCATTCGGTGTCCTTCCAACCCATTCTGCCTTTGGGGAATCCCGCCTTGTCGGGCTCTTCCTCATTGTCTCACCACCGAGACTCAGCATCGAGTCTCGGGTCTGTCGTGCCGGGCACCTCCTTAATGCCCTCGTCCAACCCCTTCGGAGCTCTCTCTGGACACAGAGACCTCGCTACTGGAGGATCGGGATGAGGAGGCTATGGAGGAGGATGAGGGTTGGGGAGGGACGAGTGAACCATCAGTTTCGCTCGGTTCGTCCCTGAGACAGATCGGATCGCTTCAGTGCTGCTTCAGGTTGTCGTCAGTTCTGGCGGCCCCGACCCTATAGAGTTCCGTCGCCCAGGGGAAGCTTTCGCTCCCACTCGGATGGCAGACACAAAGTTGCGTATTTTGCCTTCAGTTTTAACTGAAGTGGTCAATCCCCTCCTCAGTGGTACCAAGTCCAGGTTCGATTTACCTGAACTGGAATCATTGGTATCTTATGGGTGAGGCCGGTCTCTATAACCCCCCAGTGGTCGACGATTGTGTCTATGCATCGGTCATCCTGGGTGGGTCTTCAGGGAGCTTTCTTGCTTCTGCTAAGCTAGGCTGCAGGCTGCCGCCATTTACCGCCAACGCCTCGGCACTGAAATCTGCTTACCGCTTTTTTGAAGAGCAGTTTGTAATGCGGTGCAGTGCCTTAAGTTCACAGTTCACTCTGCGTACATCTCTGTTTTACAGAGGCAGCTGGTGGATGTGGGTGGGGTAGCGGAAGACTCGTCTTCCTCTACATTGGCTAGGCAATTAACTGAAGTCCAGTCCCATCTTGGACCATTCGGTCGTCTGCATGTCAAATCATGTCGGCTGTCATGGGACTTCGTCAGCTTTGGCTATCTGCTGCGCGGTACTCCCCCACCATGCAACGAGCACTACTGGCGTTGCCATACCAGATGGGTTCCTATATCCTATATCGATGACCTATATCCAGAAGCAGGGTGGGACGGTTTCTCCGCCTCTCCTGATGGAGGCATGACAGTTTCTGCTCTGGTGCAACCAGTTCGACATACGGGTGATGCCTGTTTATCTCCCCGGGGTGGACAACGTTCGAGCAGATGTGCTCTCTTGACGTGTTCTGGCCCAGCACGAGTGGATGCTCAGTCGGGAGATATTTGGGATTATCTCCCGGTTGTTCGGTTCATTCCAGGTGGATCTGTTTGCCTCTGGAGGGACTTACCAGATTCCTGTGTTTTGCCCTCGGACGCTTTCCGGCTCAATTGGACGGGCAGGGTTCTGTGGGCATTCCCGCCACTACCCCTGATTCCCAAGGTCCTCTCGCAACTTGCCACCCAACCAGCTCGACTGCTTGTGCTTCTTGCACCTCTTCGGTCGGCTCAAAGCTGGTTTCCGGTAATCCTCAGGTTATTGGCTCAGCCTCCTGTACTATTACCCTTTCGACCGGATCTACTATCCCAGAACGGAGGGCCATACCCAAATCCCAGTATTCAGTGGGTGGCTTGGCTGCTGTCTGGAATCGCCTTCAAGTGAGTGGAATTCCTGCACCAGTTGCAGACACAATTCTGGCTTCGTGGAGGGATTCGACAAACGTTCAATATGAGGATAGATGGGCCTGTAATATGCGCTGGTGTGTCCATTCCTGAAGGGTTAACAGCTCATTCGGTTAGGGCAGTGGCCACATCAAAGGCATATGCCGCGGCCCTGCCCATTCAGGAGATCTGCTCAGTGGCTATTTGGAGCCGACCGAGCACGTTCAACCGTTATTACCAGCTGGACAAACACTCACGGGAGCGTGCTCAGCTTGGCCAGACGGTTCTCCACAGTAGGCAGAGTCGTGACTCCCTAGCCGAATGAGGTTTCGAGGTTGCACTTGTTTCACTTCCTGGTGGCAGCTTATGAAACAGTTCCCCCATTTTATCAGTGGTGGTATTTTATTGGTGCGGTTTTCTACCTGTTTTTATTGGCTATAGCGTTGTTATACGCTCTACCCACCTTATTATCCCTTGCACCACGCAGTTATGAGGTTATGAGAGGAATATTTTGGATTTGACCCATACATTCCTTTCCATTTTAATGGTTGGGGGGGTGGTACTTACGTCTGTCATTCCGAATTTGCCAATAACATATTAGCTAGGCTCCTTCTACCCTATCCTTGCCACGTCCCTGCCTGATTGACATCAGCGGTCACATGACTAGGTAAGTGTGTTTCTCTCTTTCGGCTCCGGCTGTGACTCCGATTGAACGCGGGTACATTTTAGCCAGACAGAAAGCCTCGCCCAACTTGCAATCTTTGGGAGTCTGTCTTATGCTTATATGTACCCAAGGAGGACTTCTGAAGAAAAAGAATTATACAAACCTGTAAAGGTTATGAATTCTTTGAAGTAAGTCCTCCTTGGGGTACGGCTGCCCACCTCCCCACATTCTGTCTGATACGTTCAGCATGAAAAGTGAGGTACAAGGTAAGCAGCCAGAGTTACCTGCTCTTGGCTGTAGGGGGCCCTGTGGGGCCCAGTAGGGTTGGTCTCACAAGACAAAAACAAGTTTTTGGTTTTGTAAAATATTTTATTGAAATATTGTTACAACTGTTGTAGGTATTTGTGGCTGCAAGAGTTGTATACTTCCCAGAGAGGGAAAAAAATTAACAGCGCCTTGAGCATGCACTAGTTGCCTGGATATGTGCGCTATATAAATATCCTATTATAATAATAATAATAATAATTATTTAAAATGGACATTTTAATGCTTATATGTACCCCAAGGAGGACTTTCTTCAAAGAATTCATTACCTCTACGGGTTTGTATAAGTTTCCAGCATGTAATATATTTCAGGTGTTGTTTCCTTAATGAGCAGAGTTCAGATGACATGGTCATGTTCTAATCCCAAGTTGTTGTTGTAGTGGTCTCGACAACAAGTGCACCGTGTACCCTCTGAGTCTGGAGGAAGACCCAGCAACTAAGAAGAAGGCTGTGGCCACTCACACCAGCTATCTCTCGTGCTGCTCCTTCACATGTTCAGACTACCAGGTGAGTGTATATATACTAGGGGTGGGTATTGCAGAGAATGTTCATATTGCGATATATTGCGATGCGAAAGCATGTATTGCGATATTTATTGCAATATATTGCATGAAGTATTTTTAAACAAAAAAACTACTTACAATCGAGGTAATGCTTGATTTATAGAGCAAATACCCAGCAAAATCACTATGCTTGATTAAGCTTTAATAACAACTTTTATTCATGATTAAAAATAAAAATGTGAATAATATTTGGCACAAATGAATTAAGGAAATATCCGAAGATTTCGGAGTGTTACGAAGTTTTCCGAATGCAAGTAAAAAAAACGGTTTTCGATCAGCTTATCACAATACGTATCGTTTTCATGTCTGAACCGATAAATACCGGTAAACCGGTTATATTGCGCTGCCCTAATATATACAGACTCAAATCACACCCTGTGCCAATAGTCACTATCTGTGGATGACCTACCAGCAATCTTTTGTACTGCTCCTTAGCTTGTTCGATCAACCAAGTGAACTCACTATGCTTGTAGACATCCACATCACACCCTGTGTGAACAATGTGCTTGTGTGCATGTCTTGGTACTAAACGTTTGTAGAAAAGACATTCAATCTGTGACCTGACTGATAGCAGGGCATGTTGTGAACTACATACTTTCTATCAACAATGCCTTCCATGGCCTAGGCTGTAATAACAGATTATTATTAGGCTTGAGTATTGGTAATTGTGGCATTAAACAATAATGTCCACACCTCTTTGTGTTTATGATCATATGCTTGATACATATCATGTAAAGAAACACCATATCTGTTTAATAAGCATACCCCAAACCTCTGATCCTGAGTTCGAATCCTGGTTTACCCCAGTTATGTTTCAAGGTGTGTGAGCACCATGCTTTACTCGTAGGCTTCTCCAGTGTCACACCTGTGAAGATCCGGGATAAACTGATCTTCAGTAACCCATGCTTGTCATAAGAGGCGACTTACGGGCTCGCTGACTTGGTTGACACATGTCATTGTATCCCAATTGCGTAGATCGATGTTCATGCTGTTGATCACTGGATTGCCTGGTCCAGACTTGATTATTTACAGACCGTCGCATAATAGCTGGAATATTGCTGAGTCAGTGAGTGCGGTGTAAAACTAAACTCACTCACTCTCAAGTGTCATAAACTCCTCCAACCTGCTTCACTTCAGGATGTCAGCCTGACACTCCATGACGTAACTGGACTACTGCTCAAGGCAGCATTTAATCACTCACTCGGAATCAGATGTTCACCTTATCCGTTTATGATGTCTGTTAATCCCCCATCTCTGTTCCAGATTCTGACAGGCAGTGGGGACAGTACGTGCGCCCTGTGGGATGTGGAGAGCAGCACACTCATCCAGAGTTTCCACGGCCATCTGGGGGATGTCATGAGTATTGATCTGTCCCCAACAGAGACAGGCAACATATTTGTATCTGGGGTCAGTGGTCTATCTTAAAGTCTTCTGTTACCGGTGATAACCTTCATGTAGTGATCCAGTACCAATTATGCTGGGATAGGGATTTCCCTGTGTGTTGCTGAAACAAATTTTGCACCATGCAATTGTTATTCCTAATACATGCAAAAGAGATTTTTGATGTGGAAACTGGGCTTATAGATAGCTTATGATATTTGTAAAGAGCGTTCCAAGGGACATAACTCAATGGGGGTGGCTTGAAATAAATTTCGGTCGTTGCATTAATTCATTCGAACATTGCATTAATTCATTCAAACTTTTTAATTTCATATTGTAATCTTAATGCATATTTTAAAAAAAAATTTAAATAAATTATATGGTAGCTTCGCTGGGAGCTGATAGTTAATATTAGTGAGAGAAATGCAATATTGATTTTTAGAGAAGTGTGGCTTGATAGTGTGCCTTTAATATCATGGGTGCTGTTTTGTTTTGGGGGTGTGACAAGGTTGCTGTTTTGTTGATGAGAGAAATGCAATATTGATATTTAGAGAAGTGTGGCTTGATAGTGTGCCTTTAATCTATTTTGTTGCTGGATAAATACCACAAGTGTCCAAACTTGCTATTGTGGGCAGCTTTAAGTATGGAAAACCATCTTTAAGCAATATTCCTTCATAAACAGAGGGACAAGTCGTCTTTCAAAATCCAGACAAAAGAAATTTTCACTTCGTTTTATGCTTGTGAGATTGTCTCCCCTGTGTCAAGGACGAAAGCCTCGATTTCACAACATAAAATACAAATAAAAGCCACTTTTCTTCAGAATTTTCTGAAAATTACTTTTTCCACAAATTGAACGTAACACAAGGGTGTCATAAAAAAGTCGTCTGTTTGCATTTTGAAAGCTGAGTAATATGGAATTAATTAAGCAAAAAGAGTCCAAGACACCTAGGTGAGTTCAATTGCCATCTGATATAAAGTATCGGGCACTATTTGGTTGCTGGATAAATACCACAAGTGTCAAACTTGCTATGGTGTGGGCAGCTTTAAGTATGGAAAACCATCTTTAAGCAATATTCCTTCATAAACAGAGGGACAAGTCGTCTTTCAAAATCCAGACAAAGAAATTTTTCACTTCGTTTTCATACTTGTGAGATTGTCTCCCCTGTGTGTCAAGGACAGAAACTGGACTGCGGCAGGACATTTCAAATACAAATAAAGCCACTTGCTTTGTAGAATTTTCTGAAAATAACTTTTCCTACAAATTAGAACGTAACCAAAAGGTGTCATAAAAAGAATCGTCTGTTTGCATTTTGGAAGCTAGTATGGAATTAATTAAGCAAAAAAGTCCAAGACACCTAGGTGAGTTCAATTGCCATCTGATGCCATTATCGGGCACTATTTGAGTTGCTGGATAAAATACAAGTGTCCAAACTTTACTATTGTGGGCAACTTTAAGTATGGAAGAGCATATGTAAGCAATATTCCAACATAAACAGAGGGACAAGTCGTCTTTCGAAATCCAGACAAAGAAATTTTTCACTTCGTTTCATGCTTGTGAGATTGTCTCCCTGTGTCAGGACAGAAAGCCTCGATTTCACAGCATAAAATACAAATAAACCACCATAGTTTGGAATATCTTGGAAAAGTTTTCCACAAATTGAACGTAACCAAAAGGTGTGTCATAAAGAATCGTCTGTCTGCATTTTGAAGCTAGGATGGAATTAATTAAGCAGAAGCAGAGTCCAAGACACCTAAGAGTGAGTTCAATTACCATCTGATATAGAGTGCTCGGGCACTCTGTTTTTGCTGGATAAATACCTCAAGTGTCCAAACTTGCTATTGTGGGCAGCTTTAAGTATGGAAAACCATCTTTAAAGCAATATTCCTTTGCAACAAGCAGGAGAGGACAGTGTGCCAAAATCCAGACAAAGAAATTTTTCACTTCGTTTTATGCTTGTGAGATTGTCTCTCCCCTGTGTGTCAAGGACGAAAGCTATCATTCCTGACATAAAATACAAAAAAAGCCACTTTTTCTTCAATTTCTTGGAAAAGAAGTTTTCATAAAATTGAACGTAACCCAGAGGTACATCATAAAAAGTCGTCTGTTTGCATTTTGAAGCTAGGATGGAGACAGGCTAAGCAAAAAGAGTCCAAGACACCTAGGTGAGTTCAATTGCCATCTGATATAGGAAGTATCAGGCACTATTTGGTTGCTGGATAAAATACCACAAGTGTCCAAACTTGCTATTGTGGGCGAGCTTTAAGAATTATGGAAAACCATCTTTAAACCGTATTCATTCATGAAGCAGAGAGGGACAAGTCGTCTTTCAAAAGTCAGACAAGAAATTTTCACTTCGTTTTATGCTTGAAGTTGTCTCCCCTGTGTCAAGGACGAAAGCCTCGATTTCACAACGTACGATACAAAGCAAGCCACTTTTCTTCAAGATACAGAAAATTACTTTTCCCACAAATTGAACGTAACTTACAAAGGGTGTCATAAAAGTGAAATTGTTTGCATTTTGGAAGCTAGTAGTGGAATTAATTAAGCAAAAAGAGTCCAAGACACCTAGGTGAGTTCAATTACCATCTGATATAAAAAGTATCGGGCACTATTTGGTTGCTGGATAAATACCACAAGTGTCCAAACTTGCTATTAATGGGCAGCTTTAAGTATGGAAACCATCTTTAAGCAATATTCCTTCATAAACAGAGGACAAGTCGTCTTTCAAAAATCCAGACAAAGAATTTTTCACTTTGGCGTTTCATGCTTGTGAGATTGTCTCCCTGTGTCAAGGACAGAAAGCCTCGATTTCCACAACATAAAATACAAATAAAGCCACTTTTTGGTTGAATTTCTTGGAAAGGAGTTTTCCCACAAATTGAACGTAACCCGTAAACAGATTGTGTCATAAAAAGTCGTCTGTTTGCATTTTGAAGCTAGGATGGAATTGAATTAAGCAAACAAGAGTCCAAGACACCTGGGTGAGTTCAATTTGCTGCCATCTGATATAAGTATCGGGACACTCTGTTTTGTTTAATAGTTACCCCGCCACAGAAGTCGTCGAAAACTTGCTATTGTGGGCAGCTTCAAGTATGGAAGTCATCTTTGCCAATATCTCTTCATAAACCAGAAGGATAGAATCGTCTTTCAAAGATCCGTGACAAGGAGAAGCCACTTCGTTCATTGCTTCTGGCGGCGGATTGGCATCCTGTAATGTCAGGCGACAGAGGCCTCGGATTACGCAACATAAAGAGCCGGAAAAGGCAAAGCGCTTTCTTCCGAGAGTTTCTTGTACCCAGGTTCTCTAACAAGACCGGACGCAAATCAAAAGTAAGTCATGAAGGATCGTCTGTCAGCATTTGGAAGCTGGTATGGTTGAGATTAATTCGGCAAAAGAGTCCGAGGACACTTCGTTCACTTCACCGCCATCTTCGATTAGTATCGGGCTTTTGTGTTACATTGCTGGATCACAGCAGGTATCACAGGCGTTATTGTGGGGTAGTAGCTTTAATTATGGAAAACTAAATATTTACAAACCTTCGGCCTTCCTGCAACAGAAAAGGGACAAATTATTTCAAGTGATCAGATAATCAGATTTTCATCAATTACGTAGCCTTGAGAGATTGTCTCACCTGTGACGCTGATTCAAAAATACAATAAAAGCCACTTTTCTTCGACTTTCTGAAAATTATTTTTCCACACCAACGTAACCCGAGAAAGTCGTTGTTTCAGATGAGCCAGATGAATAATCAAGCAAAGAGAGTCCAAGACACCTGTTCACATTCGATATATCGGGCACCATTTTGCTGCCGGATAAGATGTTCAAAATTTCGTTGCCGTGCGCTTTGGTAAAACCATTCGCTAACATCTTCATAACAAAGAGGACAAGTCGTTCAGTATAAGAAATTCACTCGTCCTTCAGAGATTGTTCCCCAAAACAGACAAAGCCGATTTCAACATAAAACAATAAAGCCACTTTTTCTTCGAAGGAAAATTATTTTTCCGACAAATTGAACCCGCATCATAAAATTTTGAGCTGGGGACCGCGCAAATTCATAGAAAATATCCGATAAGACCATTTGCTGCCGGATAAACAACTATAAAACCAAATTAAGAGCAGCTTGTTGAAACCATCTTTGGCAATATTCTTCATAAACAGAGACGTCGTTAAGAATCGATACAAAGAAATTTACCAACTTCGTTTCATATAACGTGAGTTGTCTCATATCCGGACAGAAAGCTCGATTTCCACAGCACTAAAATCGACCGGCTCACGCTGTACGGAATTTTCGAAAATTACTTCAAATTAGGGCAATAACACAAAGGAATCATAAAGTCGTCTGGCTTGCATTTTGAGGCTAATAGATTAATTAACAAAAAGAGTCCGGAACACCTAGAGTGAGTGGTTCAATTCGCCATCTGATATAAGTATCAATTTCTATTTGGTTTGCTGGATAAATACCACAGAAGTGTTGGGCGCTTGCTGGGCAGCTTTAAGTATGGAAAACCATCTTTAATGGCCATTCATTCGCATAAACAGAGGATGGAAAAAGGTAATCTTTCAAAATCTCGAACAAAGAGAACTGCTTCACTTCGTTTCATACAATATGAGATTGTCTCCCCACCTATGTGTCAAAGGACAGAAAGCCTCGATTTCACAACATAAAATACAAATAAAGCCACTTTTGGTTGAATATCTTGGAAAAAGTTTCCACAAATTGAACGTAACCAAAGGTGTCATAAAAAGAATCGTCTATGCATTTTGAAGCTAGGATGGAATTAATTAAACAAAAAAGAGTCCAAGACACCTAAGGTGAGTTCAATTGCCATCTGATATAGAAGTATCGGGCACTCTGTTTTGCTACGGATAAATACCTCAAGTGTCCAAACTTGCTATTGTGGGCAGCTTTAAGTATAAAACCATCTTTAAGCAATATTCCTTCATAAACAGAGGGACAAATCCGTCTTTCAAAATCAGACAAAAGAAATTTTCACTTCGTTTTTATGCTTGTGAGATTGTCTCCCCTGTGTCAAGGACGAAAGCCTCGATTTCACAACATAAAAATACAAAAGCCACTTTTCTTCGAATTTCTTGGAAAAAGTTTTTCACAAATTGAACGTAACCCAAGGTATCATAAAAGTCGTCTGTTTGCATTTTGAAGCTAGGATGGAATTAATTAAGCAAAAAAGAGTCCAAGACACCTAGGTAGGAGTTCAATTGCCATCTGATATAAGTATCGGGCACTATTTGGTTGCTGGATAAATACACAAGTGTCTCCAAACTTGCTATTGTGGGCAGCTTTAAGTATGGAGAAACCATCTTTAAGCAATATTCCTTCATAAACAGAGGGACAAAAGTCGTCTTTCAAAATCCAGACAAGAAATTTTCACTTCGTTTCATGCTTGTGAGATTGTCTCCCTGTGTAAAGGGGCGAGAAGCCTCCGATTGGCCAACATAAAATACAAATAAAGCCACTTTTTGGTTCCAAATTTTCACAAGAAAATTAGTTTCCTAAAATTGAACGTAAACTAAAAGGCGTCAT